ATAGTTGAGTATTTGATCTGTATGTGTGCGTTGATTTTCAATATACTTGTGTTTCTAAATTTCCTGTGTTGGTTCTCCTGATTAAGACATTTTAGAATGGGATTTTGTCATCTAATTCTTCTTCTCTTGTGAATTTGATGTCTTCAATTATGTTGTTGTTGTTTTAGGCAGTCAAACTATCAAGCAAACCACATGTATTCTGTGTGCTCTGAATAATTTTGGTTTCTAAAGGCAACTGTAGGTTGACGTTTCACCTTCTTCAACTGTGTAGATTGCTAACTGCTAACTAATTTTCGAATATGTTCAACTGATTTATGTTTTTCTCCATTGTGGATGAAATTTTATTTTAATAAATCACACAGTCTTATACAGAAAAATTTACTGAGGACAACATTTCGAAAAAAAATTTATCATTGCTACTACTCATAATCAAATCAAGGCATCACCCACTCACACTACTCACTCTCTTGCTTCGTCGTTTATATACATGAGTAAAAATTGATGATGATTAGACATTTGATCGAATAAAATCAGCAATATAAAATGATAAAGTACATTCGGAAATAATGATATTAGAGTCATCAACAAAGTACAATAAGATGGGAAGGGAAATAAGATGTTTTCATATTAAAATAAATAAATAACTTGTTAGAATGTTATAATGTGAAATGAAATACATGTTAACATTGTTTATTATCCTCTGATTTGACTGGTGGTAATAATATCTTCCACATATGTAATATTACCGATGATGAGTCACTTCTATTGCATGTGTTCGATGTAGATTATTCGATGAACCAGTATTCAGTAAGCAATCCATCTCTCCCTATCTACATCTACATATATTACTTTTTACAATTTTAACTCCCTCGCACTACCCTATTATGTAGTTGTGCTTTATTGCATGCAGTGCAATTGCTGAGTTTTTTCTCAATTACTTATCTTCGTGGGATCACTCATTCTAACCTTATCTAAATTCTTATGTTCTCACAGGCGATTTCACTACTCCTGATCTATTGGTCTGACTCACCTATGTAGGCAGTTGACCTAACTCACAGTCATTGCAAGGTATTTTGTAAATTATATTATTTTGTCAACGCACAGGGTCCTTCAACCTACCTACATCGCTCGTCCTATCTAAGTGAGTGAGTTTGTAGGTCGAATGCCACCAACATAATTCCTGCTTTGTTGAGAATACTACGTAAAGTGACAGATGTCCTCTCGTTATATGGTAGAACTGTAGATCGAGGTAGAAAAAGTTCGTTCAACCCCTTCAACTTTCATGGTCATAATCCCTCCATGCTGAAGTTTGTTAATCCCCATTTCATACTTTGGCTCTACTTAATTTTCGCTTTGTTTATTCAGTTTGTATACTCTTCCTTTATTACGTCAATTGTTTGCTACTATTAATATCCTCCCTTTGAATTGTCTCCGGTATTATTTCACTTTTTCTACTTGTTATTGTAAATCTAAAATTTTATCTTGCAACGTTATCAAAAATTTCACACAATGTTACGTAACATCTTTACTTTTATTCTATTTGCCTACTAATCCTATAATTTCACACCCCTTCCAATTTCTATAAATTTTATGAATTGTTCTGTATTTGACATGAAATGTTCTACGGCTTGACATTTAACTATGATTATAATCACAAACAGTTTAGTTGCTTTTCATACTGCTATTGGTATTTTATGTATTCACACCTATGATTCGATTACCTCACCGGATATAAATTTCTTAAAGTGTAGCGCGATTGCAGACGCATACATTTTCGAGAAGAACGTGAAATACAGGACATTGACATGAATCTGTTTTGTCTCAGCCGACATATTTGTCTCTACAGCTTGAAGAATTGCATGAGATGCATGAATATTTCATATATGTGTCCAACTTCAACAATGTGGTTGTATGCTTATTAGATATATATCACACAGTAAAAACTTAGCGATTGAAAGGTTCACCACCACTAAAAAAACATGGTGGAGGTATGTTGATGACACATTCAACATACTAAGAACACGAAATGTAAACTGATTTTTTGAAAAACATCAACTAGGAGATGGAGGCAATTCGATTCACTCATAAATTGGAAGTCAACAAGGGGAGATTCCAATGATCGATTATAACGTGAAAAGGAAAGAAGATGGGAAGTTTAAACACTAATGTTCATGGAAGACCCACACACCCAAATCGATATTTGAATTTCTGATCATCCCACTCCATGTCAGTAAAATTAGAATTGGTGAAATGTTTAGGTACTAGGGCACGAAAACTAAGTAGTACGAAGGAAAATCTAAAGGCGGCAAGGGAGGCATATAAGCGAAGCTAGAAACTTAATGAACAATTATCCTGATAAATTAATCAGGAAGTATGTAGGAAAATGTAAAAATAAAATTAATAATCACGGTAGTGATAGTATAGTAATAACAGTAATAATAATAATGACGACATACATGTCAAACATGTACAGGATAATGACAACACCAACAATGAGGGTTAGGTGAGGGTAAAAATTCCAAAAATTAATGTAAGTAGGCGGAGATAGAGAGAGATTGATTACTGAATCCTGACTGGTTCATCCAGACTACACCCAAGACATACAATAGAAGTGACTAAGCGCAAATACCGGAGATATGGAAGGTATTACCACCAGTCAAATTAGAGGATAATAAACAATGTTAAAATGTATTTCACTTCACATTATAACATTCTAACAACAAGTTATTTATTTATTTATTTTAGTATAAAAACATCTTATTTCCCTTCCCATCTTATTGTATTTTATTGATAACACTAATATTATTATTTCCGAATGTACTTTATCATTTTATATTGCTGATTTTATTCGATCAAATGTCTAATCATCATCAATTTTTACTTATGTATATAAACGACGAAGCAAGAGCGTGAGTAGTGTGAGTGAGTTCGTTGATATGACTATGAGTAGTAGCAATGATAAATTTTGTTCGAAACGTAGTCATCAGTAAATATCACTGTATAAGACTATGTGATATGTGAAAATAAAATTTTATCCATATTGGAATTATAGTCTTCCAGAGTGCCCAAGTTTTATCATTATATCAATTAATGGTTTAAATGGTCAAGAAAGTTAAAGACAATTCAGTGAGGAAAATGCTTCTTTATCGATGAAATCATCTTCACAGGCTGTCATACAGTCGTATTTACATTTACCAAAAATGCGTAGTAGTCCATTATTGAATGACAGGGCTTTGTGTGACGAAATTGATATTACTAATCAGAATGGGCTTCACAAGTAAAAATAAAAGTTGTTAGTCACGTAATACTCAACAACGGCACAAACGAAGAAAGGCGAGAAATGATTATTGTATGTCTGTAGGATAAACTGCAGCTTTGGACAGACCACTTCACTGAGTATTTATAAACTCACCTGCTCCCGTACAGCTAGTTATATTGGCCGCCCGCACAAAGCGGACGCACACTTTTCAAACACACCTATGAACATTATCCAGCATGGATGGCAAAAATGACAGTGCAAGACAGTTGCTATCTAGCTCAGTTCTCGACCACCTGATCAACTGAAGCCACGCAGCCCAACCACAATCGTCTTCCAGGATTATCTGCAAGGTGAGGCCAAGTGGTACAAAAGGCATTAGGTTTTGGCATTTTTGTTTGGTTGGGGCGTCGGTGATTCGTTAATACAACCGTGAACTCTGTATACAGAAGACGTTTGTCCAGTCTCTTAGTCTATTATAGTCTTAACATCTTCATTAGTCGTTTCTTGTAATTTTTAATTTTTTTTAATTTTTAATGATTAGTTTGATTTTACTTTTATTGATAATTAATTCACTATTATCACTCCCACATGTTCATTTTTGTACATTTTCTCACCGTCTTCACACTTGTTAAATTGACACTCAATAAAAATTCTAACCTTATCAAATTTCCAGTGCTTTCGTCCTTTATACCGTTGCTGGTGATTACGTAATTTACAAACTTTATTTTTACTTGTGAAGTCCATTCTGAGTAGTTAAATCAGTTTTGTCACACAAACCCCTGTCATTCAATAATGGACTACTATGCATTCTTGATAATTATATATACGGCTGCACGACAGCCTTTGCAGGTGATTTCGTTGATAAAGAAGCATTTCCTTCACTGAATAATCTTTAATTTTCTTCATGACTCAATGCATATTTTCGGCGACCTTAAAATCCTAGAATTCAACTGTGTCAAAGCGGTAGAGTTCTTCAATAAACGTAGTAATATCAGTTAGAGAATCACCTGAAAACCTAGGAGTACTGGACAGCTGTTTTGTCCTAGTTTGGTACTCTTCATCAGTACGCATCCGCCGGAGTTCTGACCCAGGGCCATCTGGTTATAAGGTGAGCTCGAAAGAAATCCCTATGAAACCAATACTTGAAAATTAATCTGATGCTTATTAGCTACTGGCCCTATTCACGCAATGACCTGAGTTTCTAGTGGGAAGCTGTGACCAGCAGGGTACAGCATGTTGAAGATGAGGCAGTAACTCATCGAAGAAGACATTGCGAAATGGTCGTGAATTGGCAGAATTTGGAATTGATGGGCCATTGGATTGGGTCCCAGTGGCTCGATGGTCTACGAGCTCGCCTTGTATCCAGAAGGTCCGCCGGTGGGTGCGTACTGCCGAAGAGTTCCAAACTAGGACGATACATCTGTCCTGTACTCCCTGGTCGTTTTCCAGTGGTTCTATAACTGATGTGAGCTCATGATGAAATCCTCCATGCAATCAAACGAAATCCCTACAAAACCAATACATGAAAACGTAATAATAGTAGTAATAATAATGAACAATTACAGATAAAATAGTCGTGAATATATTTTGTGTTTCAGTATTTTTCTTCTTTTGTTAGTCTGCCTATTGTTTATTCTCTTCACACGCGGACAAACACACACACACGCATACACAGACGCATTTCTACCTATCTGAATGATATTCATTGGTCGACCGGTCAGTTGACCAATCAACAACTTCCTAATCATCATCATTATCATTACCATTCTTATCTCATTGCCTTTTTTCACTCTTACCAATTTTTATCAGTTTTCGCTTAATTATTATCATTATTTTATTACAAATTTTCACTCATATCAGAGGAGTATTCACTACACACAGGAAATTGGCGTTTTGCAAAAAAATAAAAACGTATACCTTCTGAAACCTCTTGTCCACCTAACCTTTTATTATCACACTTTGAAAAATGAATTCCTGTTGTTGGTTGTGCATTCAAGGTGGACAGAAGATACTGTCACTGAGCAGTGAGTATTCAACAGATAACTACTAAGAATGTAATCACACCAACACATACACGTGCACACATTCCAGCTCTCTCCCTCTCTCTCTCTCGCTTATGTAACTCTGTTTTTCGTGATGAAGCTGTCACAGTAACAATTCCACAGGATTTTTTACTCAATGTTAATTAAAGATTATTCGGAAAACTTAAAAACCTGTCTGATTTGTCAACATCTAAGCAAATCATGAAATTATCGCCATCGTTATCACTATCCCCGTCATCATCATCATCATCACCATGCAGTCTACCGTCTAGGAAATGTTCTTTAGTCAAAGTTGATTTAAGCAGTTCAACGGAGTGTTTCCATTACTGTTGCCATCCTGATCATGATCATTATTATTACTGCTGCTATTATTACTGTTATCCTTCTTCTCAAATTTGTCAATATTGGATTATTAGATTATTTCTACTGAATGTTATGCTACTGTGTAATTTTAATTTATGCGTGTTAGCTCAACCTTGGTTTAGTTTACAAGCTGTTAAAGAGTATCTTGATGTTGCAAGTGAGTATGCTAGTTTAGTTTATGTGATTAATTTTTAAAAGCACTCTGATTATATATATGTATATGTATATGTAATTATTATTATTCCCTTGGGTTCCGAGTGCAACATAGGGCTTCAAAAACAGATATAATCGACACTTTCCTCTATTTTCTACTGTCCTTTTCACCTTGCTAGCCATAATTTCTCATCCCTTCCACCCTCCAACTCTCCCACACAATCTCATCAGGCAAAACCAGAAGCCTATATAGAAAACCATATGCTCGGACTAGAAAGTACAAAACCTCAACCATACCCTACCCTACTTAGCTCGTGTTCTGTGTGATAAAGAAAGCATTAGGCGTGACACCTATAATTCATTAAATAGTCAGTAGAACAACTGGACCTCGTCTTTCCAACTCATATCATTTATAGGTACAACATTTTCTTTCTTTCTTTTCCTATTCTATCTCTTTTCTTTTTTTTCCGTTATGTGCTACTTTGTTTCTTTCTTCCGCTTACGCCAGTAAATATGACGACATCCACTTTTCTAACACTTTCAAACACTGTTCAGCTTTGGCTTTGCTACCGACATGCCAATATGTTGTTGTCATAATGAACTGAGATTTCCTTAATCTATGTAGAATTCTATTTATTGATAATGTACTGACTGGATGCAATACTGTAGTAAAATGCTGAGAATTCCATTCTGTATCACAAGTACTGTTTTTGGAATAAAGCAAATTATTATTATTATTATTACAATAGACCCCAATATCTACTCGTCGCTTCCCATTGAGCGAGATGTCATTCGACGGCCTCAGCCTTCCTCAGCGTATGCTCAGTCAATCCATCTCCATTTTCTCCTACATATGTGTTGAGTATTCGGCTCTTCCTTGTTTCTATCATTGGCAGAGTGTCAAGTTGCTAATTCTTTCTGGCTGGATAGCTGGTTGGTGATTTGATCGTCAGTAGAGAGGGAGCGTAGCTATTGATAAAACTCTGAAACTGGCTGTTGGAAATGCTTTTCGTGAAACACGCGCAGTGGAAGATTCTGACCCATATAGAAGCACTAACTGGCTGACTGACTTCACTGACATTTGTATTGAGAATTCGAATTTCTTTATGCTACTAAGTTGTTGCAGAAGATTTCCAAACTAATTTCAAATTGATGGGGGCATATCTTGCCTTTCTAATTCTGACTGTCTGGCTGGCTGGTTTTGACATTTTCATCCGTTCTGACTGCCTGCGGTTGAAACGAAGCTATTGTCTAGTCTAGATAAGTGAAGGCGGGAAGTTGCCTCTGTGAGATTTCTCCCGTTGATGCTGATTGATGCTGTTGGTTGTTGTTGCTGTTCCTCATCACTTCCACCTACACCTTCTCCATGTTCATCACCTGGATGGAGTCCTGTCTTTGCTGCCTGCCTTCTCTACCAGTTTGTCGGTGTGGTATTCAACAGCATAAATCATCCATACGAGGAATCGAGATGTTCTAGAGTCTTCTCATCACTCAGTGCAGAGTATTCCTGTCTTCTAACTTACTTACTTACTCACTCACTCCAAACGCACAGTCTTCTGCATAATCCAGTCCGCCACAATTAGGGATATCATCATTGGTGATAACAGGTAGGCGGCCAGCTTGTCTTACTCGTGTATTCACCACTTCGAAGACTTCGTGGTGTTTTCTGTTGTGTAATACCTGAATAAGGTTGAAAAACACTCGGGGTATTGCACGTCGTATTTTCGTGACAGTTTCCAAATTACTTCTCGGTCAACACTGTCTGTTGAAGGACTAAACGAGGTCGATGAAGTTGTTGAGGTAGATAGAGGTTTGACTACCATTCTATGCTTTGTTGTCTGATGACAATGTGTAGAGCTGCAAATTGATCAGCACATATATATATTATTCCTATGTGTTACGGGTGGAACATAGGAAGGTCTTCAAACAAGAGCATTGAAGTTTCCCTAGCAATAGTTTTATTTTTACGGGGTGAGTTTGCTAGCCTCAATTACAAATTTCCTTCCTTACTGAGCTTACTGTTAGTTAAAGCACACGCAATTTTTCATGTCCTAGTGTCGAATTACTTGACACCTTTTGTTCTTTTGCTCATTACATATTGAATGCTGAACGGGCCGCTTGTGCACGAGGTTACTACGTTTCGAACTATTTAATTTCATATATGTTCCTGTATGTTTTGTATCTCAAACTTTAGACTTTAAACTTGAGACATCTCATCAGGTAGACCTAGAAGAAATTATAAAAGACCTTATGATTCCCTATTAGATAAACTTATATGATATAACACATTAATTATGAGTTCATTTCAAAATAAATATACTGATGACATGGCAGTTTCTGTCCCAGTCGCTTCTGCATGGGACTGCTCTGATTTGAACAGTTTCTTATTTGAGGTTAATAAATGGTCTCACTCAAATGGTCTTAAACTGAATCTTTCAGTCACACTGTTAATTTTAGTTTCAGACGTGAATAAGACTTGCCTGGGCTAATTTGTCAATCCGATGGTTCCCGTATTATCGACGGTACTGCGTGATAGGAACTAAATCGAATATTATCTATCTTGACATCAGTTTCTCTTAAAATCTTTGTTGGTTGCCTAATATCTTCTTGACTTCAAGAGAAAATTCCTTCTTTTGAGACTTACTACGTAAGGGAGTTGAGACTTTGTGCAGGCATAACTCAACGCCTTCCCTTACAACTTATGAATTCATGTATTCCACCCATTCCTCATTATTGTCCCCTCCCTTATTCTTCCATCGGCTTCTTATAAAACGCCCTGTCATATCACGTAGAACATTGAGGACTGTAAGTAGGTAGGGTTAGTGGTGCGCGCCTTTGACTCAACTAACTGACCAATTGTTGTTGACAGGCATTTTAATTCTTGTAAGCAGTTAGCTAAAATTATCTTGTCCAATATCGAAACATCCTCTCCACTTATTCACAACTTGTTTCACCTTCTATCCCTTCACGCGTAGAACCAGAAAAAATCTCATCAGGATTTATTCTCGCACAGCAAAACACAAAAATTCAATCCTACCACCACGGGTGTCATGTGAAGCGAAAATTGTCAGCAAAGAGCTTATACACTTTACAAATCGGTAAATGGGTGGCAAATTATGAGCAGAATTGTTATCATTATCAATATTATTATTACTACATATATATATCAATTATACTTCTTTCCACTAAATTTCAGTTCTATCTGGTTTCATAACTTCTACCATTTCATATATTTACATATTTGTAAAAGGAGATAAATTATCGCACTTTGTAGACCAGTGAAAATTCCATTCTGTACGAAGAAAGTGTTGCTTAGAATAAAGTGAATTGTAGTTTAGGTGGATCATATTGAATTAGTCGTGTTCTCTGAGAAGAGTCTGAGAAATTCTCCATGAGAGAAGAAGAAGAATTACACGACAACAAAATTCCATTCTTAGATGTTTGTCTTAATCAAGAGAACTAATACAGGAAGGTTAGAAACACAAATATACTGGAAACTCAACGCACATAGTCTAAATACTCAACTATGATAGTAATAACTCAACCCAATTACCCACAAAAGAAACTGTGTGCAGACACTGTTTCAAAGAGTTCAAACACACAGTAGCACTACTCGTGTGTTGAAGAGAATGGAAGAGGAATACCTACTAACTGTCTTCATCAAAGTGTTTAAATTCGAGTCATAACACCAATAACAAGCCATCATTAAAGACCACCAGAAAATTCATCCTTCCGTATATAAGAAGAAATATCTCTGAAATACTCGCACTATATTATTCATTCAAATGTCCTTATGATTATTCGCACCTTGCTGTGTAATGTAAGGAGAGAAAATTAGATGCAATATTGTATTATATTGCTGAGAACTCTACACTGTTACAAGTGTACTATTTTGAACAAGGCGGTTATTACTATTATTATTATTATCAGGAAGCTACAGGACTGGACTGCATTGGCTCTTAGCTTAAAGATAGGCAGGCAGGCAGGAGTGACGTGTAGGCTTGATGACTGGCTAGCTGAGCGTACTGAACACTTCACTTATTTGGACAGTTGCATCAGCCCAGACAACGCCAGTGGATTGATCTGATCGCTGACGAAATCTCGGCCATATACGGATACAGAAGGCTCGTTTGTCATTTTTCAGCCAACTTAACTAACTCTATATCTGGCGTTCTTAGAAGACATGATATCTGGCTGGCCGGTTGTCGACCAAAAGACGTGTATACTGCTCAGTAGCAGTCCTCTCTGTCCTCCTTGATGGCTGGCTGGCTGGCTAGCTGTGAGACATCTTCGCTGAAAGTGGACGACATGAAAAGCCAATCTAGCTAGCCAGCACAAGCTTCAGCCAATCAAGAGCTTTTTGATTACCTTGTTTTACTCAGCGTCATCGTATGATCACATCCCAACAAATGACCTATGATTGCGAGCTCCTCAGGACGCCAGTATCATGAGTTTCTCTAAGTTAAATTCGTCTGTTCTTGAATTTCCACATAGGTTCCCTTCATTAACATACCACTGTCATATCTAGATGTCTATAACTGTATTGATTTTACCACAAGAACTTCATTTTCCAAGTTAATATGCAGTACCTTGACTAGCATTCCCTTATTCAGTTGATATTGACGTTAACCGATTAATACTCTTCCATCACTTATAGTTCTATATTTGTTAATATCACAAAATCCATGTGTTTGTATGTATTTAAACTTTGAGAGGAGATTGTATAAATAACTATGATATTTATAGAGGAGTATTCAGCTGACGAGGCCTTCTACCGAAATCGGTGAATTCCTTAAGTACTATGTTTTATTTCCACATAGATAATTAGAATCTTTCACCTGATTTTTACTGTATATCACCTCCTTTTATATGTTTCCCTGCAATCTATAAATAGTCGTTTAAAGCCTTATAATATTTGAAAACTGTCTGATGAACTGGTGTAACATTTCAAACATTTCAACAAATAGGTGACTGGCTTAATTATGCGCTGACATTAGTTAGAGA